GGTTTTTGTCATTAATTTGTTGTGTCGATGTCGTAATTACAAGTTCGTTGTTGTATTAATAAATTTATCGTAATGAAAGGTTTAATTACCCAAGTTTGAGGTACTATCCACTAAAAAAGCAGAAGGAACCGTCAGTTTTTTGTCACAGTTGAAGAAAAACGGCGACAATAATATTTGCTATTTATTACTTTAAAATAATTTAGTTTAGAAAACTTATTAATAATTCTTTTTCCTTTTTCTTTTACTTTTACTTTTACAAGAAAAGAAATATACCTGAAATGATAATAGAAATGATAGCAAATAATTTTATCAAGGAATTTTGAAAAAGAGAAAAACCTATTGATATACGTTGTTTGTGTTGTTGGGATGAAATTTCTGATTGAGCAATAAAAGTGGTATCAATTGGGGCGCAACAGTATGAATTCATCTTTTCAACACTGTAGATACACATATACTGTGCTACTGTAGGACACGGTTGTAAAGCCATATGACATGTTCGTGGTTCTTCATTTGCATATCGGACATACGGTATTTGACCAATTGGACAATATCCTTTAAAGAGATTGATTTCAATTAATTTTACAACGATTTGACAGAAAATCATATCACAACTAATCTTCAATTATCATCATCAGAATGTGAAGATTAAGATTAAAATGATGATAATAATGATCATGATGATACACGTGACGCGAGTTGATTCTTCACGTATTTTCACGTTAAAAAAAAGAAGGTAAAGACTAAAGGAACAACTCGAATGACTCTTTGTCGGTCACTTTTTTTTTTTTATTCAATTATTTATTGCAATAATATTCTGTTTTGTTCCAAGAAAGAAATAAAATAAAACAAAGAAATAACTAACCAGTATAACGAGTATTTAAATGTCCTGAAGTACAGCACAGGTAATGACCTAATGTTGAACTTTCATGACATTGATAACCAGGTGGACAATTATTTAGCATAGGTGAACAAGCTTGTGGTTCACTTGATACTAAAAATAATTTCTATCTTACACTTTTTGTTGTTTGCTTCTCTCACCCAATTATAATTTTCTTCTCTAATTAACTAATTTGGTCAATTTTTTCTTCGAATCATATAATTATGCGAATATACAGCTAACCTGGTTCGATGTAAGCAATACCATCGGTACACATTGGTATAGGAGAAAATGATACGGAGCAACAGAGATGTACAGTGTTAACTGTAGATTTGATACAACCGTAACCAGTTGGACAACGATTTGATCCAGCTGGACAAGCTAATGGACGATTTGCATAAAGATATGGTGAAGCACCATTGGGACATTCCGCTTCTGATGCAACATCTAAGCAACAGAATGTAGCTGAACCATCTGCAGACGGATGACAACTAAAAGAAAAGAGGGAAAAATAAATAAAATATTAGAAAATGTCTAAGGTAAAAAATCAAAATCTATTTTTAACAGAAAACGCCCAATACATTTTGATGCGGAAATGGCATCAACAAATCGAGACAACAAGAAGGAATCTAGCTAGTCAATAAGATTATAAGAAGTAATCTAGCTAGTCAATATGACAACAAAAGGATAAGACAATAAGGAGTAATTTAGTATCTAGTCAATAAGACAACAACAAGTAATCTAGCTAGTCAACAATTTTGAATTTATTTACCTGTAACCTGGTGGACAACTATTGAAATTTATGTTACACGTCAATGGAATTGATGAACCAGGCGCTAAATAAGCTTTACGTCCATTAATACATTCATATGGTGAAACTGGACAACAATAATATAAGCCACCTGATTTAGCTACTTGACAAATAAATTTGCTAGGACATTGACCACGACGTGATGTTAAGCATTGACGTGGTGTTCGTGAACCTATAAATATCATTTTATGATATCATTCATTTTTTGTTTTTTTATTTTTTTTTTTTTATTTGATGAATACCTTACTTTATAATAATATATGAAAAAATTTTAATATCATTTATTGGGCTTATGGAAGCTATTAAATTAATGATATTAATAAATTAAAGGTCAAATATATTTACCGGGGTCATAGAATGGTGTTCGACCATTTGAGCATAATGGTGTAATTAAATTAGATCGTGAGAATTTTGATGCTGCAGCCGGAAGTGATGCAAATTTGCAACATATATTAACAGCAGGTACGGATGATACCAAACATGCTGTACCTTTTGGACATGCATCCAATTCTGGACCACAGATCTGTGCCTGGATAATAAATTGAATTTATTGCAAGCATTTGATTAGCAAAAAAAAAAAAAAAAAAACGGATTAACAAAAACGGAAAAAAACGGATTCAAAACAGATAGATAATGTTAATATACATATCCGTTTAGCTAGAACTTGTTGAAATGTCAAGTGTTTTCCGTTTATTACAAACGGTTAATTGATTATGAAATTTTGGATGAAAAAAAAAGATTATCATAAATCTCAATAACTTTTAATAATACAAAATTAAAAATAATAAATTATTAAAACCTAATAACATATCAATGATACTATCAAATTATCACTCTAATCTTATTCAGTAATTTTAGTGATAAAAGCATTGATAAATATCACTTCTAATGTTGTATTATTAAAATGGTACATGAATTAACAAATATTTTTCATTTTATATTGTCTCGAAATTTTTAAATTGACATACTTTTTGTCCGGAAATAAAATGTGTCCTTCCTTTTAAACATACTGGTTTTGTTTTACAACATAAACCTTCTGATGATGGTAAACGATTCAAGCAAATATATCCATTTGGACATTTATCATCACCATTTATTTGACATTGTTGACCATTTGTTGGAAGATTTTCTGGACAATTAATTTCCAAATTTGAATTTACATCCATCGATTTATTATTTGTTCGTAAACAACACATATAAAAACCTTTTACTGAGCTAAAATTTAGGCTATAATTTATTATTTTTATACTTTGATACTTCTAGAATGTTTAAAGTAAATACTTCTTTTATTGATAATTAGAATATATATTACTTTTAGATATTTACTAGAAAAATATAGACTTCTCCTTTATACCTACTTCATTTACTAATTATTCAAACTTGTAATATCACTTGCCTTTTGCGCCACATTTTCAATGTTCCTTAACAATATAGTTTTTTTTTTTGTCACATTAATCAATTAGACAGTAGATAATGTGTGTCACACTTTAATTATCAACAATATAATTTATCTTTTTTTAATTCTATGTTTGAATTTACAATTAAAATTTACTTCGAATAATAATTCGAATTGTATTTAAATTTAGTTTTCTATTATCTTTTGTTAAATTATTTTTTCCATATACTTTTCGTGTTCCAAGATATATCTCTTGTTAAATTCTAAATTCTTTCCATTACTTTTCTTCAATTCATTAGCAATTAAAAATTTGCTTCGCTTTAAACAAATTTCTTAATTAAACATGAAAATTATTATTAAATAAAATTCAATAAAATGAGAATATATGCAATGAACTTTAACCTTTCCATACATTCTGATGATAATGGACAATTTTCTCGATCCGGTTGACAACTTACTGTTGAATCAGAGCCTGTAAAGACAAATAATGGGTGCAATTGTAAATGATGCTTAAAATTGCTATTGTTTTATGCAATATTTAAATAATAATTATTCTGCTAAAGTATCAGTAAATAATTCACCTGGAATGATATACGGTATTCGTTTTGCAGGACACATTGCATCAGTTTTGCAACAAATCGGAATGTTTGTTGTTGACGGAACACATGATGATGATACCGGACATGAACCCATAACATTCAATTTACACATCTGTAATTTGTGAAAGTAACAATCTACATTGTTCATTTATTATTATTTGGCTATTTTCTCTACACATTATCATAAAAAAAACCGGATTTCCGGATTATTTTAAACGACTTTATCTTTTCATAATTTTGCATTCGTTGCTTTTTCCTGAACAATGTTGCCATGCAAGTCATAAATTAATCCTATTGTAAGAAACTTACCACAATTTTAACCATTAAATTATTTCGTTTAATTAAATTTCAATTATTTCATTTGATACTTTAATATTTATGCAAAAATTAAGCAAGAATTCAATTTCTTTTTTTTTGTTGAAAAATTTGTTTCAACTGATCGTTTCATTTCTAACATTAATAATTACATACTTGAGAAACTTCAAAAATGATGAAACCTGAGGTAGTTTATCTCCATCATTTATATTTGGTGACATTCCTAACGGACATTGACCAAGTTTGACAGAACTATTAGCGCAATGTCATACATGCTTGTTGACTTGCAAAACGATTTGCCGTACCATCACAACCTAAGTTATATGATATAAAAAAGTAAAAACAACAATTGTTAAATTATTTTCTTTCTTTAACAAGAAACTTTTTTTTTTGAGAATAAAAATTTTTGCATACCTAAATACATGAATTGCATGCAATTTTCAGTAATTGCATTATAATACCATGCTGCGCGTTGCATGCCATTTGCGCATGACCGTCCACTACTCATTGATACTGTACATGCAAATTCTGTAACAGAAGAATAACTTGACATAATCGTCGGAATTTTCTTCTTATCTATGATCTCGATGATATACTGAGATTAGATTTTATTAAATTTAAACATTTTTTTTAGCTATCTTTAATAGTGTCTCTGATAATAATATTAATATTAGTAAAAGTAATGATAACAATAATAGCAATAGTAATAATAATAATAATAATGGTAATAATAATAGTAATAATAATAATAATAATGGTAATAATAATA